CTGTGTTTATCAAACTTTAGAATTAATGATAGAACCTGTCAGAGAAAGGAGCATTCACCAGGGCCCTGCTTGGCCACTGCTGTAAAAGAGTGAAAACACGATGTCTTGAGTAGAGGAAATATACTAAATTGGGGTGGTCTTTCATGCCAAGAAACCCCTGAAGCTACAATGGTGCTCGCCATTTGTTTGCCACCATTGATTTTAAAATGAAATATATAAAAACACTTTAATAGCAAGATATGACCCAGTACCCAGATGGTTGGATTACTTACAGAGATATGGTAATTTGCCTACAGATGGCAGCGCTGAGTCAGGCATTACTGACAGTCATGTAATGCTGTACGGGACAGTGTTAGACCTATAATTATTAAGTAAAGAGATTCTATTGCAGCCTGGGGTCCTCTGTGCCATCTTACCTTTTAGTGTTAAAGCATTTTGAACCGTTTAACATCAAAGTAGTGTCTCCAGGGGCCCTGTCTGCCACCTTTTATTTGCTGCTCTGGCTAACGCAGGAGCAATGATAGGCTAAGAAAGTCGGGTGATGCTCTCAGCCTGTCACTGGTCGCCCATTGCAAAGTAAAGTACATTTTTAAATGGAGCAGCAAAAAAGAGGTGCAAACCGGTGCCTCGGGACACTACTTCTGTGCTAAATCGTTTGAAAATGGGCTCCATAGGGACTGCCTTGAGTTCTCCTTTAATGCACATTCACCGCACGTGTCATCATGCTTAGGCTGTAACATGTCACTTACCCATATGTAATTTATATCTGATCATGTATCTAAATGGGAATGTTTATTCAAACAGTTAAGCAATTATCGACTTTATCATGCTTAATGCATTCGTAAATATATTTGTATATAAAATACACATATACATATTCACATATGAGCATGTATACACACACACACATACACACTCACTGACAAGCATACAAAGACAGAATAACTGACATGCACCACACTCTGCCATTCACATTCGATAACATGCAAAAGTTTGGAGGTCATTAAATATGTAGAGGTCAAGCTGTATCTGTAGGAGTGTTAACGCTATAGGCAGGGAGCAGAAGATAACCTCTGGGCCCCAGGTGTCATACCGAGCCTCATCATCCCACCAGCTCTCGCCACCGCCCTCGGTACTCACACATCAGATCCATCTGTTTGAGGATGAAAGGCGGCACTTAGATACCAGGGTTTAATTCCTGCTGAATGAAGTTCACTCTGAATGTGCTACACATCTAACAGTTGTCTGTGACACTGTGAAACTGGGAAGGTAGATGCGATGAGATCAGGGGAAATCCCAAAGCATGAACATAGATGGGGTACATTAATGCAAGTGGGGCTTGTGGAAGGCGGTCAGCATTTAACAACTCTGACGAGGACTCACAGAATACAGAGTGTGTTTGTGAATCAACTGCATTATAAAAATATAGATTTTTTTTTGGGAGGGGGTGAGTGGGTATAGGCTGCCCTAGTACTCCCCCCTTAGACTCATGAATGCATAAAATTCAAAGAACGAGACACAAGGAGCAGCTGCTGACGGATGTAATAAAGGAGTTAAAATAAACAGTAAAATGCAAAAGCCTATTCAGCTGCCCCTTTAAATATGTCGACCTAGGCCTAACTGTCTTAGTTGTAGATAGATCGCTGGGTGAGACATTCTTTCAGGGGTTAAGCAGATAATTTATTAATTGGGGTATGGCTAGTGGCATGCCTAAAAGGTCCTATCCTATAGAGTTTTATGGAAGAAAAATGAAATGGCTGTCGGGCGGTTTTTACTGTCTGCATTTTAAAACACTGAATTGGAAGAATGCTGTTATTTCCACCTTTAGATGTTTTTATGCAATGTGTGAGGTTGAATGCCCCCGTCTATCAATATAAAATTCTGATACATCAGAATTCTGAGACATTATTCTCTTTATTTCAACTTTATTGCAACATATTGTCCTGTGCAGCAAGATTTATATATCACTGATTTATTAGAAAAAAATGAATAAACATTTTTATGTCTTATCATTTTGTAAAAGCAACAACCTGCAGATCAGGCCATTTTTGAACCATGTTCGATTTTTATTGGATGTAAAAATGCTTTCATTAAAATACAGTCTCCCTTGTAAAAACGAAATTAGACAAGTTCAGGGTTTTTTTTTTTAAAGTAATATAATCAAAATCATGAAAAGTTGCTATTTTTTTCTATTAATAACTTATATTTTAAATAGTGTAAAAATGAACTAATGAAATAAAACTTAATGTTTTCTGAAAGCCACAAACTGTCACATAGAAATGGAAAATTACGTATCTCAATGGTGCCCTATTATGCCAGGGAGAGTTATTTTAAGTTCCCACTAAATAAAATAAATGTTATCCCCACACTTCAGTGAATGTAAAATTTGGAATGATGATGTATTCCCATAACTCCCCTTGTTAATGTAAAAATAAATATATTCATCAAATCTATAGTTCGCCAATTCACATATATCCTTACAGTCTGCCTAATTACAATTTTTTTTTTTACTATTAAAGATAGTAATCCCTCAGAAAGACAATTGTATCAAAACTTTAAAAATAAAATCTGTTAAAATAATACTCCCTGCTAGAACGCTGCTTGCATGCAGGGGCTTTATAGGAGGACTTGAATCATAATTATTAGTAGCATCTGATTGGGCCAAGATATTCCACGGTGGTTTAAATGTATACAGGTGGAATATATAACATCAAATAACTGATAGACAAGAGGTGAAGGTAGTCCTGCTCACACAAGCTTTCAATGTAATGAAAGGCCATGGAATTGACTGGCCAACGCCAACTAGCCACATTGCGCAAGAGCTTCCCATGCCCTTTCACTAATTACATTGCCCACATCCAGCTACACACAAGGTTTGTAAATGGAGGAAACCATTGTTTTGTTTACCCCTAGTTAATGTGTCCCTATCTCATTGGCAGATGATATCACAATATACCCTACCCATACCCTACATGATGAACAGGCCCACCAGATGTTGTGGACTACACCTCCCTGCATTATGGGAGATGTAGTCCACAACTTCTGGAGTGCCAAAGGTTGCCTTTTCCTACTCTACATTATATTACCATTTCCTCCGTGCTCCTGATTCCCGTTATTCTCCTTGTCTACACTACTCCAGCGTCAATCACTGTAAATGCAAGTGACCTGCCTATTCATCAACACCCTCCTGTACCACAACAGACCTCCTTCTTCAGTCCTACCTGTGTAAACTCATCAATTTAGCGTTTTACCCTTTACTACACAGCAACCGCCAATTTTAATCAAGTGTTATGACACCCAAACGCAATTGTTTAATTAGCTCACTGATGTAAAATCATTAACCAATAATTGATTTATAATAATTAATGTAAAAGCATACTTGGTAATGGTGATATTTGAGAAACGTTAAAAAAAATGTTTGGAATTACAATATTCTATATGAACGTCTCATCTGTCAAACAATTCAATTTCCCCTCCTCTCTTAAGCTAAGAAAAACTCCTGACTAATAATAATTGCAGGTAAAATGAAAGCACGAGATGCCATATGAGTAATATGTAGAAACTTGAGTCTAGCACTGAACCAGCAATCAATAGACATAGAGCTGCTGAAGGAAAAGTAAGAAATTAACCGCTAGACTGCAGGTGTTTGAATTAGGCCATTCGCTGGCAGAGAACAAAGGGTTAAGAAAATAATGATGTATGCAAGAGGCAGCTGATTGTCAGCCTCTGCATTAGCAAACCCATTAATACAAATAGGTATTACTACAGAGAGAGGACCCCCCCCCCCCGTACATACAATGGATGACCCAGTATGCCACGTGAATCGTCCGTGTTCTTTGTTATAGAACCAATCGGCAATCATTCACATCCTGGTCATTTACATTTAAGGTGATGAAAAGGTGTAGTTCTGCTGAAGTCTTTAACCCCTTCGCTGTCAGAAGTACTTGCTCTGCATTGCATTTTCCTACCATTGTTATTATTATTATATTTATATAGCGCTAACAAATACCGTAGCGCTTTACAATGGGTGTACAAAGGGACGCACTGCTCCCTGCAGTGAAAAACAAAAAGAACAAAATAATTTGCACCACTTACCAAATCGCTCCTTTAACCAAGAACTTTTGTAAACGTGCCGCCCTTGTTAAAAAACAAAGAAACAAAAAAAGGGTTTTTTTGTGTGTAACATATATGGCTTTGATTGCATCTTTATGAACATTGTATTTAATTTATTCTTTATATTTTTAAAAAAAAAAAAAGGTTTTGTTTTTTTATAACAGTAGCTCTCCAATGTAGCTTTTCTGCTAAGCAATATTCTGATACACCTGATTCTTGTCTAATAGCAGAAATGAACTAATTATTATTCATGTGCCTTAGATGTAGAGCCTCTGACAGTTTTTTCCCATCCCCCTGCATGTTAACATCCCAGTAAAAAAAAAAAAAAAAAATACACATTAACCCCTGCTCATCAACTCCATGCAGAGATGGAAATAAAGGAAATCAGGTATCACTCAATTACATACAGATATATTAACGCACACGGAACAGGTACAACAAACACTGAACACATTAATGCAGGAGAAATACTGCTTGCAATCAATCCAGTCATCCAACATACACTCATAGTTATAGAAGACACATTGCAGACGTTTTAGCATAACCAAATGCTTTATTTAACTTGCCAAGCAATTCCCAAATCTGTATACAGACGGTAGCAGCCTAATATCCTACATTTATCCCAGACAAGCAGTGAAGTGCACGCACTGATCCCTGGTACCCTTGCTTATTCCTGAAAATGTAGCACTTCCCTGCAGACATCTGGTGTCACTGTTGTCTATAGCTATTCATCTGTCCTTCTCCCTCTCTCATCCTCCGCTTTCTCATTCTCTCCGTCCTCCACACCGAAAAAACCCTGAGACCGAATGGGAGTGCGAGAAAAAGAGACACACAGCGAAGAAGCAACACATCTCACCTTTAATTTTCTCTCCTACTGGATTGAGCTCATTGGTTTGGAGCAGGAAAAAAAAAAGATATCTACTTCATTTTTTCCCCAGTAGAGCTTTGAAAGAAAACACACAGTGATATCAGTGTGTGCAGATTAAGACATTTTAATTCCTTATTCCCATGAGGACAATCTGTGCATCTAACCAAAAATAGAGAACAAGAGCGGAGAGAAGATGATCAAGGATGGGGCATTTTTCTGCAGTTAAAGTGTCTGGCTGATTTTGTGACCCCTTTTTAGAACAAGCTTCTAACAGCCCCCTCCTCAGGAGAAATCTACTGCAAGGATTCTCTTCCATGCAAAGGTAGGTGACTGCTCGCCCACCTAATACTGATACTGCTTAGCTCACCTGAAAATATGAAACTTTCATGTATTCACTTTTCGTCACCTGAGGATTTCTCATTTTGTTGTCTGTGTTTCTGGTTGTCGATGCACCCTAGAGTTTTACTCCCTTGTACCTTTACTTTCAAAGAATGTATGCAGGAGTGATTATTTCAAGGCTGTATTTACTCTTCTAAACATTGCCCTATTTAATCCCACAGTTCCCATAGCCTGTTATTTGGGAGTTTCATACCCCTTCGTGATGATGTGGCAGCTGTGGTGTGCTTTTTTTTATCCATTTGATCCACTTGACCTGAAAGACACATGGTCTTGTTCCCATTGATGTATCTGCTGGATAATCTGCTTGAGGTTCTTGTCTTTGATTTGGACAACATACATCGCAGCTGGGTTTAGCCTGTCTTTGATCAGTCCCAGGAATAAAACAGTCAAGAATTCTTCTACCTTTGAACAAGCCGAGTATTGGTACCACTAGGTTTCAGTTTGTGTTATTTTCCCTAACACCATGTGTACTTTGGCAGAATGTTTGCATACATAAGAGTGCTGGATTGGGAAAGCAACAGTTTCAATGTACTGAAGTATTATGTACCTAGTATTTAGTATATGTCATCTCCAGAATTGGGTACTGCTTCTTGATTAGGACATGGGCCATCATGATGGTTCTGAAGACGATTATGTGTATTTCAGATGTAAACACAAAATACCAAGCACAAGATGTAAGTCCTTTATGGGTTTTATTTCCACGTAAACAACACAGCTTTTTAGCTCGTGAAATTTGAGGTTTAAAAAGGCTCATTGTAAGCAGAAACAGCAGAAACACAATGTTGCTTGTGGAAATGAAGCCCTAAAAGGACTTACTTGTCGTACCTGGTTTTCTGTGTTTATTGTTAAATTGGGGAGTTCGGCAACTCCAGACATCATGGAACCAGGGATTTGTCTGTTATATACTTGAAGTAGTACCATCTCTTTCTGTGTGTACTCTATTTTAGTTAGTCATGAAAACATGACTAGCCAAGTTTGATGCTTGTAGATAGGAGCAAGTGACTATTTTCAAGATTGGATAATCACTAGTGAGCTTAACGTTTGCAAATGGAACAGAACCAAACTGCAAAGCCGCGGAGATAGAAATGATCCCAATTTGGGACTGGGAGACAAATGATCTGATAAAAATGGGTCACTCGTACCTCTGCTTCCTGAAATGTCCATAGTATTGGTCTATGAGTGATAAGGAGCCAACTTTGGTTGTTTAATTGTTTGTCCTGTGTTAGAATGACAATAAGGGCTATTAGGGCAAACAATAACTTTGAGTTCTTATATGCTATTGAAGTTACCTGTGAACTTAGCTTTGTAATGAGACTTTGGGGAGCATTTATGATGAGTAAGATGATAATGCATTTATAGAAAAGCACAGTAACATCCAGCTATATATCACAACAATATAGCAGTAACAGATACACAATGTTCCATGACGAAGAATGCATAAAGCAAAGTATATATCTTTTAAGGTTTATTGGCAATAGTTCTTAATACCGTCATACAATTTTCAATCTAATACTGAAGGTGGAACAGGATTTAAGGTTGGTAGAAGTTACCCATGAATCTTTTTGCCTTATTTTATCATTGTTATTGATACAGCACTGCACAAGGTCAAGGAGAACAAACTGACTGTCCCACAGAGCTGACATCCACAATTTAAAATTGTAGCAAATAAAACTGGACTCTGAAAAGAAACCAGATAAAGATTTAAGCTGGAATGTGCAAAGTAAAAATAATTTAATTTCAACTTATTTTCTGTTACTATGTTTGGCACTTTGATAACTTGGTGATCAAAATGTACAACATACTCCAAAAATGTGCACACACACAGACGCACACAAATACACATACAAATCTATACAGACACACACATATAACATGTAAGGTATATGTAAGCTAATTTAAATTGTTAAAAAAACAAAACTAAACAAAAAACAACAGACACGTTTCTAAGTTGCTATATTACTCAAAATGGTGAAAGATTAAATATTTAATTTCCAACCCCATTGGCAATGAATGGGTTAGACACTAAATCCAATAGATTTCATTCACTACACAGTAGTGAAAAACCCAAATTAAAGCCCTACCTCCCAATGATAAAGTGGCTAATTTAAAACAAAAAAAAGCTGGAAAATGTCCACATCTTAACTATATTGGTCTCAATTTTGCAATCTGTTTTTAAATGACAGTATATTATTGTATAGTGAATAATCTACCTAATGTATGAGAAGGAAAGTGTTGTGATGTAGTGATTAGATGTACCCCTTAAGGACACATGACATGTGTGACATGTCATGATTCCCTTTTATTCCAGAAGTTTGGTGCTTAACGGGTTAAGATAGAATAAACTTCACAGAGGATAAAAAATATATTTTCAGACAGGAAAGAAATTTTGGCTATGAAGAATTAGCACTTTTTATTCATTTCTAGTGAAGGTGGTAGATGCATGGAATATACACCCAGGAGCAGAGGGGGAAAAGCAAAGAATACACATGGGATTGGCTGCGTCATGCCAAGTAGGAATTAGATGTAAAGAGTGGACTGCTGTTATGTAATGTCTTCATATTTAGTGTGTTCGTTTCTTCATTTAGCATGTTAATCTTGTTTTATATATATATATATGTATATATGTATGTGTGTGTGTGCGGTTATATGTGGCTAGTTTCTTACAGATTTGATCCCAGCCGATAGTACAGGTTCCAGGTAACTCCTCCTTTTTTCCTCTTGTTTCCATGTAACCAACATATTATCTCTAGAAGCAGATGGTGGAAAATGAACGCAAAACAAGAGGGTCCATTCAGGAATAGTCTCTCTTGGTGTCCATTTAATTACATTTGTTTAGAGAAAAATCTTCAGCATAAACCCAAATATCAATAAAAGCTCAGGCAATCTCCTGAACCCAATGGATTGAAAGATGGACAAAAAATAGATTTTCTTGAGAGATGCAGCTAGTGTGTTTATCTAAATGGAGACAGACAAGCAGATTGATTGAACAGGTGGGGAAAAAAATAAATCCAGATGAACATCGGATAGGTAGACAGCCTATAAGGTTAAAAAATCATATGGAGAAAAACAGATGGATAGCCTAGGACTGAGATCTATAAATAGATAAATAGATAGGTGGGTGGCTTAAAAAATTGACTTCAGGCATACACGCTAAAGCATTTGTTTATTTGTGTTGCGATTTCTGTGTTTGTCTGTGTTCTAAATTCGAAGCATAAAGAGTTCCTCTAGTGTGTTTTCTTGCACCACTCAATACTGCAGAAAATGTGGCATGTGAATTGGACCTGTTCACTGATGACGTGTTGCTGTTTCCTCCTCCAGTTGTAAATTAGTGTGTGTGGACACACAACGATGAGTCAAAAAGGATTTGTGGGAGAATTTGGGAAGTGCAGCTAAGCAGCATAGTAAATGGTAGTTTGATGTAATTATAATAGTACATTACATTAGATAGGATGTTGTTGGTGAGACGCATGGATATGCACTTTATATATGGATATAGACATAATGAGACATAAGATAACATGTATTTATTGTCTGTCTATCTATCTATCTATCTATCTATCGTCTATTTTTTTTTACTTTTTAATTAGTTTTGTTAATATGAAATACTCAAAAAGTTCTGAGCCAGCAGAAATGTTGTCAATAGCCCTGGCTCTTTGGCTTCTAAGAGTCGTCAGACACTGACCTACTATTCCTTTAATACTGCCAATGCTTAGTATATTTCAGTACCGCCAAGTGTCATTGAGATACATCTTAGGTGCCGCTCACCACCTTTGTAACCTTTGGTAAACCCAATAAAAGTTGGGAACAAAGCAACAAGCTTGCTTTTAAAGAGAAATGGTACTGCATGAATAAATTACGAGTGCATTGCCTTTAAAGAGAAACATGGGATGGGATGAGTTTTTACCAATATCCTGACAAATTTAGTGTTAAAATTAAAATGGCTGCAGCAGTCATTCATACCCTTTATAAAACATTGCACTCATACCATGAGTCAGAAGCAAAAGATACAAAAATGATCACAAGTTCTAGAGACTGGAGAACTGACTTAAAAAATATATGTTAAAATAATTTTACCGGAGAAAATATGAAGCTAGCAGTTGCATTTGTCTTCCAGCTCAACATATTAGACCTAATTTTGCAGATAATGTTCCACATCCCCACAACTCTCTGTTTGGCAAATAGACCCCTTGAGAAGACACACAATTTATTAAACAGCTGTAAGCTTAACAGACGCATTGAACACAATTACCTAACATGCAGCTTGCAGTACAAGTGACACCTCCCTGTATTTTTTCAATGGGCTGTGAAGCTGTGAACATCTTATTAATAAAGTGTTACTCTCTACACTTGGATGAAATTAATGCAACACTAACAGTAGATTAACAAAATTAAAGCACATCATTTCAGCAGGTGATTTTCACCTCCCCTGCCCTTTTGTGATTGGTGGAGAGCATAGATGTAGATAAAAAAAAAATTGATCTAATTAGATGTATACAAATTCTGCATCTGTGTGAGTCTAAAAATCTCTGCCAAGTCAGGCTTGGCTCATAGTCTGATGACTAACGATCGAAAGCAAATGTAACACCATATAAACGGGATTCTTTCATTTGGTGCAAGCAGCAAAACAACATTGTTTGGAGCTGTATGTGAATGTTTATGTATCACGGAGTCTCCCAGATGCAAGAGAATTTATCAGAGAAAATGTTCGGTTGTTATAAAGAAGGTTTTTTTCCCCCCTAATGTTAAATTAAAAAAGGAATACTTATTACATTATTTGTGGCCAGATTAAGAGGCTGTGTACAGCATTTCCATTTTTGTTCTTGATACACAGGTGATTAAATATTGAACGTGCCTAACATCTGATGTATGCCTGAA